TTTTAACAATTAAACGGCTAAAATCATCTTAAAAATCTGAAAGACTCTTTAAGTGTTTTATATCAGGAACTAGAAGAAGAGAGAAGTGCCTCTGCAATAGCTGCTAACCAGACAATGACAATGATTACCAGGCGGCAGGAAGAAAAAGCAGCAATGCAAATGGAAGCATTGCAGTGCCAAAGAATGATGGAAGAGCAATCAGAGTATGATCCGGAAGCTTTGCAGATTTTGAATGATTTAATGATGAAAAGAGAGAAAGAGAAGCAAGAACTTGAAATGGAATTGGAAGAGCACAGGAAAAAGATACTGGACTATGAAGGAAAAGAGAAATTGAGGGTGTTGAGAAGAAAAGATGGAATTGTAAGAAGTAGAGACTCCTCTTCATCTTGCAGCAACATGGATGAGCTAACCATTGATCTTAATTAACTATGAAGCAAAGGATGAAGACAATGGCATCTTCAACCATGAGGAAAGCAGCCACAACAATTTAAGTGCTGATACAGTTTCAAATTTGGAGGAGATGGCAATAGACTGTGCAAAGTATATAAGTGTTGTTGATAATTCATTGGCAGAATTTGAGGAAGAGAAGGTGTCCATTCTAGATGAGTTCAAAGCATTGAGGGAAAAACTTATCGCAGTGGTGATATAATGAGCAATTCCTTGATGAATTTAACTTGATTGAGCTTTCATCAAGACCAGGTGACAAAGACTTGATATGCAAAACTCATTTCCTACACTTGAAATGGATAGTATGAAGGTGTCCTTTGAAGAGGAGGTTGATCATGTTTATGAGAGGTTACAAGCTCTTAAAACAGATAGGGAGTTTCTAAAGCACTGTAAGGGATCCACACAGAATGGAGACAAAGGAATGGATCTTCTTCAAGAAATCTTGCAACATCTTTGTGCGAGCTCCTCAAAAATTTATCCCCTGCTCCTTTTATCTGTTTTGCATAACTACTAAATTTTAGCCTTTACCTATGCCAACAAATTCTAAAAAGTTTGAAAATTATCTAGTGCCAAGGCACTAGCTAACCCCAATGTGGCTTTGTCACTGAAGAGTGAAGTATAAAAAAGAGCTTTATCCTTCAATGAAGTGATAAGTTAGGCCTTCTAAATGGATCCAATATGACATCTAACACAAAGCACTTTGTTTTAGATTGTCTTAGAGATGAGTTCATCACATTTGGAGTTTCATTTAAGACTTATTATGGCAACCAATTCTCGTGATGTAGAGCTCATATTTTTTTATTTTTTGTGTGTGTGTACATATAGAGCCCATATTTAGTTGGGTTTATGTGTGATTAAAAGAATTTTGTTAATAGGTGAGCCAATGTTATTAAACTGATTATCAATTCGGTTGAGATACTAAGTTGACAAGTCATTGGCTCAATCTATGAATCACTTGTTGAACTTGCTGGTTGAATTACTTAATTGAATTATATAAGAATATATAATAAATGTAATAATAAAAGTATTATGATAAATATATACTTGTGGTATAGTGATTAATGTTAGAAAGATATAAAATTATTAATGTAATATCACCTAATATATTAAGGTTTTGGATTAAAATAGATCTTTACCATTAATGTTGCATTACGTAGGTTAGGTTGTGGGTGTTAACAGTATGAGCTTGGAAAATTTCACACGGCAAAATAATGTATCGATTATTTATAAATTATAATCTGTATATATTTGTTAGTTATGGTTATGATGACTGAAGTTACTGTTTAGACCTCATAATTACTTCTTCATGGATCATGATATTCATTAATTAATTATAATTTTTTCAAAAATATGTTTAGTGATATATTTTTATTTATTTTAAATAATTCATATTTCTATCGTCGATTCATACTCTCAATCAAAAACATATAATTGAAAATATTATATTCAACTGTCAAATTATTATTATTATTATTATTATTGTTATGAGGTGAAAAGTTTTGGGCGACCTTTAAATATATTAGCTAGGTCAAACCTAACCTACTTAGACCGAATTATAAACACTTAATAGACCATTTGATCCATTTAAATCCCTACATGGAAGTTATGTGTGAGGAAGAACTTGCAATTTGTGTGTTAACAGTATTGAGCTACACGAAAAAATAATGTATTGATTATGTATAAATTATAATCTGTATATATTTGTTAGTTGTGGTTATGATGACTGAAGTTACTATTTAGACCTTATAATTACTTCTTCATGAATCATGATATTTTTAATTAATTATCATTTTTTCAAAAATATGCTTAGCGATATATTTTTATTTATTTTAAATAATTTATATTTCTATCATCGATTCATACTCTCAATCCAAAACATATAATTGAAAATATTATATTCAACTGTAAAATTATTATTATTATTGAGGTAAAAAGTTTTGGGCGACCTTTGGAGGATAGTAGCCTCATTAAACTATGATGAATATGTAAGTATTTTATTTGAAAATGGTAATTAGCGAAATGAATATAATGTTGATCATCTCAAAATAATTTACTTCTTAAGAATAGTATTGTAACCGAGGGCATATCAAACAAATGGCATAGCGTGTGCCGGAACAAAATTTTGACGTGCATAATCACACCAGATGTTTTATGTACTCTAAAATCAACGGCAAATTGAGAGTACTAACTTGGTTAGGATGGAGAAAAAAAGGTTATAGCGAATTGAGAAGCGGAGAAAGTTATATTTATTATTATTTTAGACTTATCACTCTTATTATTTGATTGGTTATTGTTATATCAATTTGAAATCAATAATAAAAAAATAGAAAGAAAAAAAAAACTATTGCTGATTTCGACTTTGATAAATAATTAGATAGTAAGGGTGGTACGTCTAAAATATAATAAATATAACCGCCCCAACTGAGAGGCTTGATAGTCCATTGTTCTTTATAAAACAAAGGGGTGGTGAAGGGAGGGCCCCAATTGGTAGAAAAAACCCGCAACTTTTTTTCTTCCAGAAACTCTTAGTATTTAAAAAATACATTGAATTTCAATTATTTCGAGTTGAGTCGAGTGAACTTACTCAAAGGAACAATATTCTCTTAATGTCTGTTTTTTCGTTTTCACAATTAAGACTTCACTTAAATATAATCGAGTCCCTTATTACTCGAACTTTTTACATATTGATTTATAAAACAAACAAATAATAACATTTGTAGATAGATCAAAAAACTCAACTTTTGAGTTTGTTCTTTCCGATTCAAAGGTTGAAGTGACAAAAATAATAGAACCCCGTATACCGAAGTGAAAAAGAATTGAAGTGAAAAAGAACCAATTTTAATTATTATTATTTTAACCTTGAATAAAATTCATTAAACCAGTAATGAAAAAGAATTGAAGTGAGTAAACATAAACAGAAAAACCAAAATCACTGGCTGCTTGTGGAAGCTTGTGAAGCTTCCAAAAAATAATCCATTTTCTTTATCACTGGCTGCTACACTAGTCCGGTGAACATTTTTTACCTCAGTTACTCTACCATCAGCCTCATTCATACTCTCATATCACATGAATACCGAACTAATTTGTTTCCAGCTGCAATAGTAGACTGAAGAATATCATCCTCTTTCTGCTGCTTCACTTTAAGTGACTTTTAGAATAAATTTCAGCCCAAACTTTATTGAAATCTGAACGACACCGACTCCATTCCTCCTGTTTCTGCTTCAGTCGAGTCAATATTACAGGGAGCGCACGAGTTGGGTTTTTACGCAATATGTCTATAACGTCAAGACCATGGTCACCATATAGACGTTCAATGCACCTTAAATTTTGAACAGTAAAGTAATCTTCAATACGGTTCAGAGTCTCCATATTGATCTTATTTTCATTCATGTTATTATATAATTCCTCTGCACGTTTAGCTGCAGAACTCACAGACTCTAATAACATGTCCAGCTCAAATCTGTCATCTTCACATCTGAACAAGCTCTCTTCGTACTGATTCCTGCACATATGTTCGGAAGAGTAATCCTCACTTCCTGAACTCACAGATACCCAGTGATCATTCAATACTTGAGCACCAAGCTCAGATCTCTGACTAGCTGTAGGAATTGGATAATCAGCAGGTAGAAGCCGGTAGCTGGGAGTGCAACGTTTACAGTCACTGAGGTCAAGTTCTTGAATGGATTTTCCCATGTACTCCTTCTCCCTGTATCTTTCCTTCTCTTTAGCTCCATCCATCTCACGCTTCTGCTCTTTGTCTTTGTCTTTGTCCTCCAACTTTGATGATCTTAGTGACTTTTTACTCATGACACCAGCAAGGAACCCATCAATATTTTCCAAACACTCCAGGAAATCATTGAATTCCACCATAAGATCAAGATGCTTTCCAAGTAAATCGGTTACCAAATTTTGCAATTCATTCCTTTTTATTATTTCACTGACGAAAAAATTATGAAGGCACTTCAAGAAAGCTTGGTAGTCATCAAGTTCAAATCCCTGCTGTTATTATTTTATATTGACAAAAATCTCACATGAGTCTTTACAATATTATTATTTTTTATTCTATAAATAATGTTCGCCCATCTAAATGTGACAACGCCTAACTCACCAGGTGTTGTAAGCGAGTTAGGTAACGTGACATTATGAACAAAAATTTACAAAATGTGACATTCAGATAATTTTTTACAAAAAATGTGGCACTTTCCATAAATGCGTAATATTTAATTAAAATGCAATAATTAAATTTTTTTGCCAATTTTATATATCTCAAAGATATGAATTAGTATTATTATATCTCCTTGGAGTGATGGATCAATCAACAAATTAATGACTCTACTAATTTAATTTAATATATTATTTAAAAGTAATATATTTAAAATCAAATTAAATCTAATCATGCCAATTATTAAAAAAAATTTAAAATATATCTTGTTTTTAAAATAAAATAAAATAAAAACATAAATGAAATGATAATTAAAATTCATAAAATTTATACTTAATATATTTTAATTTTATTTATCCTGATATGATAAGCATAGGTTGTGTCAAAATTTCTATATAAATACATAAAATACAAAATTTAAAAGTACACAATACGATAAAGTTTTGTTTCAAAATTTAAAAGTACATAATACAAAATTTAAAAGCACAAATTCTTTTAGTTTTAAAATAATCATTGTTTAAAGATTTGTACAAAAATTAAATAATTCATTAAATTCTTTACGATTTAATGAAAATATAAGTTTATTTGATTATATTACACCTTCACTCTATTAAATCATTCTTATTCCAATAAGTAGAAATAAAAAAATAAAGTAGAGCTAAGGAAATAATATATATTTTTTTTAAAGTGACAAATAATTTAGAATAAATTATAACTTCTTAAATACAATTAGATACATAAAATGTGCCTATCATAGTAGAAAGCAAGTTAAATTCAACACCATATTATTTAAGTGGAAAGTGTTTGTCATTTTAAATGACATAAAGTTATGTCATTTGTAACGCCCGGTCGCTTCAAGAATCAATGACTATCCCCACATACTAACACGAGACTTTTCAGTGTGCTTTTTCCTCACTCGCACACTTCCCGGGAAAACTTCCTAGGAGGTCACTCATCCCATAATTGCTCCTAGTCAAGCACACCTAACTGTGGAGTTCTTCCGATCCGGGCTACCGAAAAGCAGATGCATCTTGTTGCAT